AAGCATGCTGATTTTGTCTTTTCTTTTCCCCAGAATATTAATGCAGCTCGATCCAGCTTCCTACCAGAAAAGGAGAAGGAGCAGCTCCTGTCCAAGCTGTATGAAGCCTATGACATGGTGCTGTCCACGGGGCTCTGAAGGTGACGCATCATCACACCACAGACTCAATGGATTAACCAAACCACAGCCATCTTCTCCCTTCCAGCGAGAAGCCTTTTTAAGGATATGTGTAAAGCAAGACACGTCAGCCATGGCAGATATCCTTAAAACGCGGCTGTCCGATGGGAATATGAAGAGGAGCTCTCAACAAGACAGGTCTTCCTAAATACACTCCAAATGTCTTATCAGGTTATTTGCTATTTCACTACAGCCTTATCCTACTGACAGAAATCCCCTTCATGATGCCAGAAGGTGGATGGAACTGTCAATATGCATAATTCAAGGTCGGGCACACCCGCTTCTTTCTCATAGATGGGTCAGGTAAGGTCAGGAGATTCTTAAAGATGACCTGTCACTTTTAATTCACCAGTTACATTATCTATATTCTTTCGTTGCCACAAATACCTTAAGGCCTTGTTCACACCAAATGCAGAGCAGATCTGCTCAGGTTTCTGCACACGCAGTGCCGTGGGTTGTGCCGCGTTTTTGATGCGTTCCGGGCCATTTTTGGTAAAAAAACATGGGCTTACTTTAACATGGGCTTTCAGTGCGTTCCAGGCATTTGCATGCGTTCTAGAGCAGGTAAAGAGGGCCTGCTGCAGTTTTTTCACCTGCTCTGGAACTGCACGCTGCGATGTGAACTGGAGCAAAAAATACCATTGGAATACATTGGACGCAGTTTTGATCCGGTCTGCACCTGCTCTGCTCCTGCTACGCGCTTGGTGTGAACAAGGCCTAAGAGTTACCTCTTTCCACAGAAGGTGGCCAGGCTGTTGACCAAAGGTCTGGCCTAAGGGTCATTTTAAGATCTATACACACAACCCTTTGCCCAACTTGTGGCCCCTTGGTACTTGCTTTGTGGTCCTTGGACCCTAGCAGTTTAGAATAGGAGGAGTGAGAGCATTGATTTGTAATGGGGTAATAGCAGTGATCCTTACTAGCATAATGTAAAATTCCCATCTCTCCATGTCTTCCGACTATGTCTCTAACCAAACCTGTACCATGTCTAGTCTTTGACCATCGTTTCCTCAGTATGTTTGCTTAAGACCTTGACCATGATTTCCTCTAGTACAGTGGTAGGCAACCTTGGCACTCCAGCTGTGGTGAAATTACAAATCCCATCATGCCTCGACCTCTAGGAACCATACCTGTGGATGTGAGTTTGGCAATGCGTCAAGGACTTGTAATTCCATGAGACATGGCAACAACAGTTCTAGTGCCACGATGCCTACCCCTGCTCTATTATGTTCCCATTCACCAGTCCATCATTCCCCCTAATATTATTATTATGTCTCCAGTCTCTATCCTTCATTCCCTCTTATGTCTGCAGTCTCCGCTAGTCCCTTCTAGTGTTACGTATATACTGATTATATGCGGTCAGGGGCCAGTTGACAACCACTGCGCTCTCTATCAGTTCTCCCATCAGAGCCACGCGCTCTCTATCAGTTCTCCCATCAGAGCCATACTATAACATGTAAGGGAGGAAGTGGATTTGCTACTAAGGGAAAAAAAGAATCGAAGAAGGCCTAAACTGGACCCCATAGACCAGGACTATCCTGGCAATCAGCTCACCTGTTTTGTGGAAAGAGACAACTTCATCTGGAAGAAAACAAAGTGACAGATCCTCCTTAGATCCTGACCCGACAACAAAACCTTTGTATTTTAGTTTTGGATAGAACTTCTGTCCGGATTTAAATGCTATGTATTTGCCCCATTTGAGAAGTGTGGGGAATGCCACCGTCCCCGCTGAGAGGACTGGGGGCAGGGGAGACATTTGTTCCTAATTCCTGTTCTAAGCAGACAGATAAATGTCCCAAATGCAGACAGAAAATACTAAAACCCGACAAAGGTTCTTCTCCATCCACCAAAATTAAAACCAAGGCTTATTTCCAATCATGGTTCACTAAAAAGGTGCTGATTTGTCATATATAACCCTAATGGGAGACTCTGTTTTGGGTTTAGTGTCTATAAATACAGTATTACATTCAGTGTTTACAATAAAGCTCTTCATCAATCACAGACTCTCTTCTGCACAAGTATTTTGAGCTATCTGTAGAAAGGGAAACATGTTATAAGAGTTACTTAGGAGTGTGTCATTGCTGACTTCTAGAAATGCTAGTGGTCTGACCATCCTCCTGACACCACTGGCTCCAATACTTGTCTATCCTCATCTACCTCCCAAGACCAACTCTGAAATGACCATTCCTGTTCCTCAGGCTAGTTTAGGTATATTGCGAGAAGGAAGGGTCATACCACACAAGTGAACCTGTAGCTGGTTCCCCAGTGTACTACGGCCCTTTCCACTCGTCACTCCCTGATGGAAACATCTGATGGAACACTGATGGAAACATTGCAGAATAGCTTGCGCCTCCATCTAGTGAGAGAGCGACACATGCATAGCAACCCTATCACCAGCATGCCATGGCACTAATGTACACAGAAGTGGCAAAGGGAAACCTTCCTATTGTTTTGGAGCAAAGGAAGCAATCACCAAGTCATAGAGTTTGTAGATGGTTTGGACCATGTCACACGAGCAATCCCGTTTGCTGGAACTGGATCACCATCTACAGAGATCCTGGAACACTTGTGTGCTCCTATGTTCACTCTCCAATCTCATTCACCAGCAAGGGAGCAACAACCTTGATGGATGAGTCAGTAAGGAAGAGACATAAGAACACGAGTATTCCCAGTCCTGTCACCACCAATGGGATAATTAGTGTGGCATGGGCCTTCCGGGCACTCCAGTATTAGCCCTATGCTACCAACTTGTCACAAATAGGCTCAGTCTGTATTCTAAGCAAATACCGGCAGCCCGGGTGCTTTACCACAGGATCCATCCTGTAATGAAATACAGGTACCATGCATAAAGTACAGCAACTCAAAGAAACCAATCACTTTTCTGAAGTCTGAGTAGTACAAGGCGACTCCTAACCGCTTGCCTGAATCTTACTCCTTGCACTGCTATACACCCAGCGTATAGCTTTTATACATCAGTCACCTTACAGAACTAATCAGGATAGACGTATTGGAGCTGCCATAGCAGACCTGTGTTTGAACGGATACAGCCATCTTCATTCCTCATGATCTAGTGAGTCACTGACCCCAGTAGAAGCAGATTTATATCGGGTGTCCGGACACTGCTCTGACTGCAGGCTCGGTCCAGTGAGGACAAAGATGATGGCCCTACAGCCTGTATATCTCTTCCAGCTACCTATGAAAAATGCTGCTATTGGCACAATACACTGACACCACAGCCTACATGTGATATCTGTGATCATTCTGCAGACATTGTGACCACATGCATCCCAAAAGGGGACAATATCTGAGCCAAAGGTGACCACCAAAGACTGAAACAAACCAGGTCCTTTTATCTATGTTCCACTGTACATGCTCCGGCTTTAACGCACAACACCCAGGGCCTCCCATATAAACAGTCCATGCACCCATCGCACTCAGAACTGCTGTTCCTTATAAAAGACCGGTGCTGCGGCAGTCGACGGATGGCAACTGTCTATAATCACAGGATAACAGACACCGGCACTCCAAGTAATGAATCAATGGCGTCTGTTTTTTGATGCACTGTGCTATGTTTCATGCGTCAATAAACAGACGCCATTGATTCATTACTTGGAGTGCCGGTGTCTATGTTATCCCATATAAACACGTCTCACACAGCCAATGATCGGATTCTTTACTGGCAGGTGTAATCTGACAGCTCAGATTTCAGACTCTTCATACCTGTCGCCATTATGCATTGCAGACATGCCCGTAGAATGGAGGCAAGCGCCTTACAGCAGGGGTTGGGCAACTCTGGCCCTCCAGCTGTGCTTTAACTACAAATCCCAACATGTCTGTCTTGCAGTGCCTCATGGGACTTGTAGTTTCAAACAGCCGGAAAGCCAGAGTTGCCCACCCCTGGCCTACAGAGTACTACAGACTGTGGGTTGTCACTGGGACTTGTAGTCCTTCATTGGCTAGCACAGGCCCCACGTAGCTGCTCTATAAAGTCATGCCCGTCAGAACCTTCCAATAGCTTATAGTTCCACAACAGCTGAAGGTTGGGTACTCCTGGCCTAGGGCAACACAAGCAAATGCATCTAGGGCAGAGATTTACCTGTCTGGTACCCATCATCTCTTTAGCAGCACATTGCTAAAGAGATGATGGGTGAGGATACATATATAGTGATCTACATAAAGAGCTTGGTTCCAGACTTCATTGGCAATAGGTAAGAGTAGAGCCACACAGAAAAATACTGACACTATTTCACCCATTTCACCCAAAGACCTGAAAACGGCCTCCAAAGTGACTCCATGACTGACCACAAATATAACATCAAGATCCCCGAAGAGCGAAGGAGGCTAATGCTCCCCAAAACACATAGAATGCATCATTTTAACCAAATGGAAAGTCTGGAACTGAACTACTACTGACTTCTCATTGCCCACATGTAGAATACTGCTTCCTGGAGTAAAGCATCTTGTAGCTATAATCACAAGTAAAACATTGATATTTTCATGGTGTTTATTCATCCACACAAAATCATAACTGGGAAGAAAAGAAGTGTATTCTTCAAAACAAAAGAATAAAATAACAAAAAACAAAATCACACCATTTCTCCTGTAAGTATTAACTGTCCATTCTATTTAGAGCTAACAGAGACTCTACACCAGACATAGCACTAAAAGATGGATTGAAAAACAAAAAACGTAGTGTTGGCAGTCGGTAATATACATAGGATATTGTACCTGGTGTCAGTACACAGTTTGGTCCGTTCTGGTTCCATAAGGCATTGCTTAAAGTCACATCAAAACATCACACTGTACCTTGGCCGTCCTCCGTATTTCTTTTATATGGCAGTGTGTCACCAAAACTGTTTAAGAACAGGCAAATCGCTTTCTGAAGTTCTACAATAAATATCTGCTTACCTAGAAAATAGAAAGGGAGAGTGGGGGCAGTACCGTCATCAAAGTATCACGCGTCGGTTACGGATTTGCATATCGTTTGTACGTTTCTAGAAAGGGCTCGAATCGCTAAGGCAAGTTTTGGTCGGGTGGAGACTGAAGAGATGCAATGAGCACGTTTGGCCACCGGGTGGCGGGTTTGAGTCATGCATTCGGATTACATTCTTAGGCATGTGCGTGAGCTGAAATAGCCGAATCCAGTGTACTCTTCAGCCTGGAGCCCCATAGAAACCGTTTGGTGCTTGTTCACAGAGGTCTCTTTCTGTATGAAAGTCAGTACGGATGTCTGCAAGACATAAGTAATTCATGACGGTGAGCTACCATCTTGTGCTTTCGGGCTCTGCTCCTGCCCAGTGTCGGAAGCTGCTGCTGCTGCTGCCGCTTGTCCTTCTGTAAAAAGATAAATACAGATTCACATTCATGTATTCCCATTATACATGCCTAGAAAACAAGACCGGGACCTGCCTTGGCTGCAGATTATAAAGGGGCAGACAGCTTCTATGGTGCTGCTTGGACAGCCATTCCCTTATATGTCAGCAGGTCATTTTACACTTATTAAATGTGATTTCATGAAAGGAAACACTATAGAGGAAAATGTGTCCCCCTACAGCAATGAATCTAGTTCAGACTATATCAAGTGAATCAGGTACCCACAGTGGCGTCACAAGGGGGGTGCGGCCCGCACCCAGGTGCCACCATTGGAGGGGTGACACCAAAATGACAGTCATTTTGGTGTCACCCCCTATGAAAAGTCAGGCACTCGGTCATGGACCAAGAGTCTGACAGTGTCAGGAGAGAGGAGGGGAACCGGCTGCATACCTCCTCCCGCCAGGTGAACATCCCCTCCTCTCTCTGCCGGCATCAGTCACCAAGATAGCCACCGGCAGGCATCAATAAGATGACCGCGCATGCGCAATGACGTCACAGCGGACGTCAGAACAAACAGAAACTTTGTTCTTGGAGCAGAGGCGGGGCTCACCTATTCCACTCACATGTAGAACATAAACAGATGCACTAAAGTCGAACTCTAGCAAACAATAGATTTTTGAGTTTGGATAGAGTGGGGAAAGGCTAGTTCCTCTGTCAGGATTGTAATGCTGCCTGTGACCCCCTTAGAGAGATTTGCCCTTGCTTCCCGTGTCAAAACAGGAAGTAAACAATTCTTATGAACTACCCCGTCCTCGCTCCAATAGTAAAAGTCAATTTATTGCTGTCTGGGGCCCCGGTGGACATGTTCTGTGACACAACGGGGCGTGCATTTCCCCCAAGTGTAACCTACAGGGCCAATCTGAGCTTTGATGTTCCTCTTCAGCAGATGTCACATGATCAAGTGCCCCCCAACTCAAGCCAACCTGGTCCAGTATTTTCTACAGGTATGTATTTCAAGACCTTCTATTACTCTGTATTTGTCCATCAACCCCTCACATAGTCTGCTAGCACAGCTTTATGCTGCCATTTACATATACGTACACTTTAGAATGTGTGCTGACCCCATATACAGTAGCAGTTAAATACGCTCGGCCGACTGTCTGCATGGAGTTATCTTCCAGATGCACTAAGCTGCCCCTACTTTGTGTATGAGTGCGGTAAGCTGCTTCCTAGGCAGGGACTGCAGGATCTGAATGAACTAAAGTCTGTTAGATGACCCTCTATAGCAGGGATAGCCGACCTCTGCACTCAAGCTGTTGTGGAACTACAAATCCCATAAGGCATTGCAAAACTCAGACAGCCACATGCATGACTATACAGTGATACCTTGGTTTACGAGCATAATTCGTTCCAGAAGTATGCTTGTAATCCAAAGCGCTTGTATATCAAAGCGAATTTCCCAATAGGAAATAATGGAAATTAAGATGATTTGTTCCACAACCCAAAAATATTCATATAAAAATGATTACAATACAGTACTGTAATATAAACCTGTACAAAATATAAAGAAAATAAACCAATTACAGGTACCTTCGTGGCTGGTGTGAGGGGGACAAGAGAGAGGAGGATTATTGTGTAGGACCACTTTCACTATCACTAACGGAATCACTGCTATCTCTTGGCTCAATGGAATCTTTCTCATTTCATGAAACCATAACAAGGAATCTATCCAATGTGACATTGTGTTGTCGTTAAACAGACTCATCGCTCGCACTGCTACAGCCTTATCCGGGTGGCGCTTTTCTGCAGAATTTTGCTCTTCTTGCAAGACATTGCTTGTATATCAAGGCAACATTTTTCAGAAATGTTTGCTTGTCTTGCAAAACGCTCTCAAACCAAGTTACTTGTAAACCAAGGTATTACTGTAGTTTACAGCAGGATGTCGGCACGCAAGAAATCTCCTTCAAATTCATACTGTAAAGGCCATAGACGCAACCCCTGCTTATATGTTTTAGCCCTACTGGGCTTTGGTCATAGCATGCCACATGCATGGCTCCCAGAGGCAGCAGCATAATGGGATTTGTAGTTTCAGAACAGCTGGAGTGCCGAGGATGCCTAACCTAGCTCTATAGTGAAGGGATAAGACCCAACACACAAAGTGTGTACACCTGATCGCCGATTCTTAGGGATGGTGATGATGAGCCAATGGTCAGCAGTACAGTAGGTTGTGCTAATGCTAACACAATGATCCTTTATAAATAAGATGGATGACCAACCTGCTCCTTGGATGGACATGTCTCCCATGTCCTCGGAAAGTTCTGTCACCCCCGTCGAGGCACATTCTCCCTTGATGTCAGGCACTGCGTTGCGTCTGCCCGTTCTGTCACACGATATGAATTCGCCGTAAGCCGACTCTACGTCCATAACGCCTCTATCATATCAAATTCATTCGATCTGCAGAGAAAAAGAGAAGGGATGGTCAGAAAAGAGCTGTGCATGAGAAGTGGCTGCAAAGCCATATGGAAACTACATTTAGAATCGGAAGGGTTTGCTGGGGGCGACGCGTTTCCAGGCCACGGTTTTCATTGGTGTACTGCGGCGTGTTATGCTGATACAGGGACCAAAACTGTCCAGCAGATGGCAGCAGATTCCCAGCAGTTATACTGACCCTTGAGGGTGATGGATGATGGGAGAGGAAATGCATTAATCGATCCCGGCTATCTGCTGATAGCGCTTGCAGTGCACTCTGGATTTTGTGTACAACATGTCATCAGCTCCAGTGCTCTCAGCAGATACATATAGTGCAATTTTTATATATCCAGCAGAGTGATGACCACAATATACATTTTATAGGCCCATAAGCTTCCAACAGCCCACGGGTAAAAATGAAATTGGGATTCTAAGTGATTGCTCTGGGTTATGAGAAAGGTTTCCTATAATACACTATTCATACATCAGCCCCTGTATGACTACAATCCAGTGATTGCACACTGTACATGACCAGCCTATCCCCAGTGTGGTCTGTGCCAAAGACAATGCAAAGAGCAGCTTTCAAAGTCAGGATCTGAACAGGAACATACACAGCATTTACACAGCAAGCTATAGGGTGTAAGAACTACAGTACTGTCCAGGGCTGGATTTCCATTTTGGGCTTCTGTAGGCACGAATAGAGATCTGTTTAGCCTGAGCCAGTGCCCTTACCTGCTCCAGGACCCACCGGCTTTCACATATGCAGAGAAGGACCCCGGTGTCTCCTAAGGCTACCCTAAACATCTGTCCACATCATTTTACAAGGCAGCCTTATGCAGCACCGGGGTCCTTCCCCTGTGTTTGTGGAAGCTGGCGGTTCCTGTAGAAGCTGCTGGTCTTGCAGCAGGAGTGTCCATTGTGTGCAGAATGAACCCTCCTTGCGGTTGCCGGTGTTGAATTAGGCAGAGTAGGTACCTGCACAATGCCCCTCTATGGAGGGCACCTCTGTAGGCATGTGCCTACTCTTGCCTAATGGTAAATCCAGCCCTGGTAGTCCTCCCACCCTGCTGACTGGACAGGGTATCATCAGGCTGAGGAGGCCATCTCTCTCCTCCCTCATCCAATCAGCATGTTCTTGGCAGCAGATGCATGCAGTACACCAGATTGGCTCCCAGAACTGACCATTCCTCCCCCAGTCTAAGCTCTGCTGTGCAGGGACTGCAAGAAGCTGATACTAAGTCAAATTCAGATACCTACATGGCTTGCATTTCAATGCATTGATTTATTGTAGAATACAGAGTTGCAATGATGTGTGTCTTTTATATCTGCATGAAGTTTAGCTTGAAAGCCTATCCCTGGGGAGAAAAACAAAATATGGGGGCTACCCCTGCACTACAAGGGTCAACTGGCCATTTATCTCAATGGGACTGTACACAGGACTTTTACTTGCCTGATCCCCTGCTCCCCCAGCAGTCCGCGCTCTCCTCATCCCTCCAGCTTGTGGACTGTCCCTATGGGCCCTGCATTAGGCTTGAGGATGTCAATGAGCCTCTAACGGCTGAAGCGCAGGGGCCCCGCTGCACGGGCAGTTTTTTCCTGGAGATCGGCTTCAACAACAGTTAACATGGGTTACCCACAGGGGCTGCAAGATTTCTAACCATGAAACGTCGATTTCCATATGCTGTGCAATGCCTAATCCACAACTGCCCCATACGCTGCATATATTGGACCCGGAAAGGCTCAGACAGAGCCCATTTTTGCCCTGATGTTTGCCACCAGTATACACAGCCCTGGTTTGACATTCCCAAAGACCAGATTCCCACAGCTCCGGAGCTACAACCAGTGTATACTGACAACAGCAGGTAGTAGGCATCAGGGATGAACTTGCACCACCTTCCATTGACCTGTCTTTGGTATACCAGGCCCCACTATTGAGAGCCAGCGGGGCCGACTAGCAAGATACTGAAGCCTGGCCCAGCGGGAGATTCCTCCATCCCCACAGTTTAGCGTAGATGGAGGAATCTGTAGCACTTTTCCCATCTGACCAGAGAAAATCTGCAGAGAATCTATAGGGGGATGACCAGCTTTGGGCAGAAACCATCCACCTTCCCTACACCTCCGCCCGTCCAACCGCCAGAAGGATCATCAATCAAGCTGGTTTCTAACATCTGTTTTTGCTTAATGCCCTTGCAGGTGACTGCCGCACCCACGTGCACCCATCATCCTAGTTAGAAATTGATGAGCTGCTTCCCACATTCCTCTCATTGAGAGAATACATGACTAGATTTATGAGGGTGAAAGTTTATACTGACTGTGGAGTCCCGTATGACGAGTATGAGCTGGAGGAGCCGTCCTGTGACATTTCTACACCATGACATAAGTCTGTCCTCCAGCTATCAGCACGGAGATGTTAGGTGGGGATGAAGTACAGACCAGCTGCGTT